TATTTTGCCAACTCTTGAAAGTTGTCAAAATAGTCTGCTAAGCTTCACTTGCATTTTGACTCACATCTAAGTGAATAATAATAATAAAAAAATTAGTTGCTCAGTCGTGTCCGACTCTTTGTGACCCCGTGAACTCTAGCCCACCAGTGTCCTCTGTCCATGGAATTCTCCAGGCAAGAATATAGGAACTGAGTAGCCATTCCTTTCTCCAGGGGATCTTCCTGACCTAGCGATCAAACCCAGGTCTCCTGCAATGCCAGTAGATTCCTTACTCTCTGAGCCACCAGAGAAGTTCCAGGTGAATGATAATTGGACTCAAAATAGTTATTAAACTATTTCATGGTTATAAATATTTCTATCATGATTCTTTTCCAAAAACCAAATCCTTCACATCTATTTACTAAGGAACAAGGTAAACATTTTAATCTATACGATTCTATTAATGTTTGTGTGAAAATGTTCCTAATTATTAATGTTTAGTGCTTACAGTATGTTCTATCCAGTAATTGTTATATGATGGTTTAAATGTAGTGACTTCAAAATATGGACATGAGTTGTTTGATAACCCTCCCTTCTAAAGAGGAAGCCAAACCCCTTCCCCTTGCATTGGATTTAGGGACTCACTTCTGGATAATAGAACGCGGCAGGAGTGATGAGGTAGGATAAGGTCATAAAAGACTGTGGCTTGTCTCCGTTGTCTCCGATCACTTGTTCTGAGGAGGAGTTAGGAGGTCTTGTTATGAAGACACTCAAGAAGTTCTATGGAGAGATGCACGTGGCAAGGTATTCAGAGCCCTTCTGATATCAAACCAGCAAGAATTCCACAATTAGTGGAGGAAGATACCTTAGAAATGGATTCTCCTGTTCCGATCAAGCCCAGTCAAGTCTTAAAATGACTGGACCCCAAGTTGAAGTCTTGACTGCAACTTCATGAGAGACCCTGAGCCAGAATCACTAATCTAAGCCACTTTCAGCCTCCCAAACTACAGAAACTACAAGACAATAAATGTTTTAAGCTGCTTTGTTTGGGAGTAATTTGTTTTAACAAAACATAGAACCAATACAAATATTACACTGATATTCTCATAAAAGACATATTGGCCATTCTTTTTAAATGCTACAGAGAATTAAGTACATTAATTTCTGAGTGACGTCTTTCTTAAACTAGTTTGAAGCCTTGCATTCTGTACCTTTTCAACATTATTATTTTAGAAAGGTTTTGAAGAAATATATGATGGAAGGGCTTTATTAGTGCTTTGCATGAATCCTGAATCGCCAGTCACATCTGACTCTTTCGACCCTGTGGACTGTAGCCCACCCTACCAGGCTCCTCTGTCCATGGCTCCAGGCTAAAATACTGGGAGTGGGTTGCGATTTCCTCCTCAGGGGATCTTCCCAACCCAGGGATGGAACCCGAGTCTCCTGCATCTTCTGCATTGGCAGGTGGGTTCTTTACCACTGAGCCACCTGGGAAGACTGGTAGTGCTCTAGAGACTGTTAACTGCTATGAACAGATTTAATAATCTAAAAAAAAACTTTACTGCTGTGTCCCATAACTAAATCTAGTGTATTTATTTTTTCTGAAATAATTTTTCTTCTTAGCAAAAACAAAAACCATAAAATGCTATATTAGAACAATTAGAAAGTGGAGAGTAAAAAAATAAAACATAAGTAAACCTACACCCAGACATAACATATATACTTTTATTGTGTGTGTCTCTGTTGTTATTTTTACAAAAGTGAAATCATATCATGAACAATAGTTTTAATCTAATATGAACACATTCACTTGTCATTTACTATCTACCTCTGATGTCATCATTCAATATGATGCCTCAAGCCCTTCTCAGCTCCTTCACCACTATCACTCTAGATCAAATTACTACTATCACTTACATCAGCAGCTTACAACTTCCTACCAAGTAGAAGAGACTTTCACCTTTGCCCCCAAAGGAAGCCAGGTTTCTCCTTCTAGAACATCATTAAGGCCACACCCGCCTTAAAAAACCTAAATGCTTGTCTATCACCAACAAGGCCCTGTCCAACTCGGCCCCTGCGGTCCTTTCAGCTCTCACTGAATCCTTGCTCACTGGCTACCTCGTTTGTCATCAGACCTTATACCTAGCTCTGCTTTGAAAAACTTTCTCCAAGATAGTCACACATGGCTCATTCTTTCACTTCATTTATGTCTGTTTAAAGATTATTTCAAAATTATTGGCTTCCTTAACCAGCCAATCTAAAAATTCTGCCTCTATCATGTAAGTTTTAAAATATAATGCACATGTCATTACCTGACAATGTAGATGTTGTTTCATTATTTCACATGATAAATTTATCTGTTATTTGCTTCCCAATAAGAATGTCAGTTCAACAATGTAGGGACTTTATCTTGTTTATTCATTACTCTATCCACATTGCTTAGAATAGTACCTGGTACAGTTAAGTGCTCAATAAATATATTGATTGATTGATTAAAGAACCATGGGGATGCATCATTTTAATTATTAGTAATAATTACTTGCTATTCGAAATCCTAACAATTTTTCCTATTGTGAGCAATTATATCATGAATATGTCCGTAAGTAAATATTTACACCCTATGTTTGTTTCCTAAGATTTAGGAGTCAAAAGCTATGACTATTTTTATGTTTTTTTGGATACATACTGCCAAACTTCCCTCCATGGAAAAGTTGTTATATTTTAGGACTTCCCTGGTGGTCCAAGGGCTAAGACTCCAAGCTCCTGATGCAAGGGGCCCAGGTTGGACCTCAGGTCAGGAAACTAGCTCCTACATACACAACTAAAAATCCTGCATGCCTCAACAAAGATCAAAGATCCTACACCCTGCAAGTAAGCCTAGAACAGCCAAATAAATTAAAGAAATACATAAGTTGTTTTCTTGCCTGGAAAATTCTATGGACAGAGGAGCCTGGTGAGAACAGTCCATGGGGTCACAAGAGTTCTACACGACTGGACAACTGAGCGTGCACACACACACGCACACATACACACACAATCACACATACACATAAAGTTGTTATATTTTATACCACTCCAGAAATGAATAAGAGCTCCTTTTTCTCACTTTGCACAATATTGTGGATTGCCCTTTTAAACATTGTTATTTTTATAGAGGAAAAATGGTTATAACTCAAATTTGCCTTTCTCCTGTTACACAGATACTTGTTCATTTAAGTATTACCCATTTGTATTTCTTTAAAAATAGATTGCCTCTTCATGTCCTTTGCTTGTATTTTCTACTGCTTTTCCCTTACTGATAAAGAGTTCATTTTTACAATAAAGTAACCCACTGTCCAAACCATGTTAAACTGTCATTTCCCCAGTTTGTGGTTTGTCTTTAAATTTTGATTATTGTGTTTTTACTTTTTTACCTCATGTAGAAATTTAAATGTTGTATGATTAAATTGATTACTCTTTCTCTACACTGCTTTTGACTTTGCTGCCACCTTAAGAAAGTTTTCCAATTCACTATCTGAAAAATATTCACCAAGTATTTTCTTCTAATATTCAATCTTCAAAAACTAAAAAAAAACAAAAACAAAAAACCAATATATTACAGCTGGAATTCATTTAACAGTAGGTTGTGAAGTAAGGCTGTTGTTTCTTTCTCTCAAGTGGCTACCCATCTATCCTCCTTTTAATAAGGCATCCTTTCTCCGGTGACGTAGATGTGAAATTGTGAGATGCCCTTGTTTTTATTTTAAAAGTATATATATATACACACACACACACACACACAGAGGCCTTTTTTTCCCTCCTTTTAATAAATAAGCTTTGGACCTGAGCCAATCCCAATCTTGAGCCACCATTCTTAAGGAACACAGATATATTTTTATTACGTCCAGTAACTAACTGGATATTAGATATCCAGTAATTAGGTACTAGCGTTGGTGTAATACTGAATACACTTACTAAGGAATACATTTTCCCAGCCACATTACAACTAAAGAATGTCAGTCCACTCAAGACGAAGCGGATGATCACTCTGAAAAAAAGGTTCGCTTGTGGAAGACTGAGAATAGCGCGTCCGAGTTCTCCTCTGAAAGCCCTCAGAATCCTGGGCGGCCAGGGGGAAGAAGGACCGAGGAAGAACCCATGCTGGGCTCCTTGAGATCTAGGGAGACACATGCTGCCAAAAGAGCCCATGGAGCTAATGAAAACAGGTAGTAGATGACTCTTTACAAGTCCTCTTAATTTTTCAACTAGGTCTCCATTTTGAACAGCATTGCTTGGGATTGAAATACGCCCCTGACTGATTCAGATGCACAAGGAGAAAAAAAGAAAACTACAGAAAACTATTCGTGGTCGTTTTGTGGCCTTAGCAAAGGAAGGTGCTTAATTCCTAAGTCCTGGAGAACAGTTTGTACTCTTGGGGTGGAGCCAGGAGGGCAGGAACTAGGAGGGCTTTCTCCCGCGACCTTCTATCCTAAGGCTCGCTCCAGCCGTCCACACACTTCCGGGTCCACTGGGCCGAACCAGGCGTCTCTGTAGATCTCACTCAGAGCGCCAAGTAGGGGCGGGAAAGCCAGGTGTGACCTTGTGGCCACCGGCGACTGGAACCTCCAAGAGCGCCTTCGTAGCAGGCGGGGCATTAGCCAGGGCAAAATAGATCTCGGGCCCCTGTGAGGGGCGAGGCACTTCCGGCTGAAACGCCCACCGCGCGTCCTCTCGCTGCAGGCTCCTCTCGCCGGGTCACAGGTCTCCCTCCAAACCCCTAGCACCTCCCATTTCCCGGCATCCTCCCATCTCCCGGCATCCTCCCCGCCGGCCGCCGCTCTGTGTGCTGCCGCGTTTCCTTAGCAACCGCGCCTCCCGCGGCCGCAGGAAGTGGCAGGGTCACGTGCTCCCTGCACGTCCGGGCTGCCGGCGTGACTTCCGGGTGTCAGGCTGCCGGGGCGCCGCGGCCGCTGAGAAGAGGCTGTGTGGCCCGGGTGGCGGCGGGCTCCGGGGCGGGCTGGCCTCTTCCTGCCCCGTGCGCGATGCATCCGCGGCGCCCGGACGGGTTCGACGGCTTGGGCTACCGGGGTGGCGCCCGAGACGAGCCGGGCTTTGGCGGCGCCTTTCCGGCCAGGTCCTTCAGGTCCGCGTCGGACCTGAGCCGCTGGGTGACCTCTCCCCCAGACATCCCGGGGAGCCGCAACCTGCACTGGGCCGAGGGCAGCCCGCCCCGCGGCGCGCCCGCCCCCGGCACGCCGCCCGAGGGCCCGGCGGAGGGGCCCTGCCCGGGCGGCGCGGGGCGCAGCGGCGGTGAGGGCCTGGGGGGCGCGAAGCGGGCGAGCGCTTGAGGGAAGGCGGTGAGGGCCTGGGGGGCGGGCGCCTGGGGGGCGGGCGCCTGAGGGGCGGGCTGGGAGGCGACGGTGAGAGCCTGGGGGTCTCTGGGGGCTGGAGGGGCGGACAGGGGTGTGGTCCGAGGGACCCCGGGCGTAGGAGGGGCGGGGGTAGTAGTCGGCGGCCGGGGCCCCGCGCGGGGTCGCGCCCACCGGACCCGCCGCGCCGCCTCTCGGCGCTCCTTTCGCCCTCTGCCCCCGGAGCGGGCCTCCGCCCTCTCCCTGCCCCAGGGTTTTCTGGAGAGGCTTGCCTTATCCTTGCGTGGCAGCGATCACGGAAGGTTTCGGCATGCTACCTCCCATGCCCAGAATCCACAAAGACTGGCTTGCTGTTTATCGGGACTCACGTGAGAAATAGCTGATTGATCGGCCGCTCTATCACCTTGATTCCATTGATCAGTGGTGGCTTTGCGTGGTGCAAATAACTTTCTCCGAGACCTTAGGCAGCCTTCGGCTCAGAGCTTTCTCTACCACACTTGAAAGCTGAGACTTTCTTAATCTCTGTGCTCTCTTGCTGTCCTCATCTTTAAAGTGTATAGAAGAATAATTAAGGGTTTTGTGGGGGAAAAAAAAAGACCTACGAACAAAATGAGGTGTCAGTAATGCCTGATACAGTGTGGACCACACAGTAGGCTAAAAGTCAATCTTTCTTTTTTCCATGTAATCATAGGAGTTGTGTTCGTGTTCTAGATCCCAAACTACTCCTGTATTTTCCCACCTCCTCCTTTCTTTTTTTTTTACTTAAAAATTCCACTAAAGAATGAAAAACACTTAAGACATTTTCAAGATAAGAATTTGGAATCAAGACATAATTATTCTTTGCAACGTCAGAAGATCGGTTCAGTTCAGTTGCTCAGTCGTGTCGGAGTCTGCGACCCTATAGACTGCAGCACGCCAGGCCTCCTTGTCAGAAGACAAAGATTTTAATTGCAACTCTATGTGATCTAGATACTTTCAACATAGTCTGGATTCATAAAATGGAGATAATGGCTGCTGCATGTTCCCGTTCTCCTAAAAGTGTTAGAATAATAGATCATACCCTTAAATATTATGTACGTTCTAGACACAAATTTTAGTCTCATTTCTTTGACTAGGAAGTACAGTACCATTTATTTGGTTTGGGTTATGGGGAGGAACAGACTGTACTATCATCCAGTGAGGATAGATGGAGGATCAGTGACTTCCTCAGTGTTATATATACAGTTAGATTTTCACTCTCTAGCGCTGTTTTTTCCCATAGGTCCCAGAAGGAGTACTGGAAAGTTATAAATTATTCAAAATGCATATGTGATTGCCTCACAGTTACCTTCTCAGGCAGTAAAGCTGACGTTTTATCTTTTCATAATTTATGCATTGATGGTTAAAATGAGATCTCTAATATCCAGGGTTTTGTGGGGGGTGTTTTGCAGCAGTTAAGAGGCTGGTGAAGAACTCTGCACAGAGGATAGATGCCTGGGAGACTTAGTTAATACTAGTAAACCTTCCTGACACCTTACAGAGAATGTCAGCGGTATTTTTTGTTAGTTTATTGGAGGACCTATACAAACACAAAGGGAAAAGATGAAAGGAGGAAAGTATCTTAATTGGGCAAAAGAAGCCTTTGCCCTTGTACGTTTTTCAAGGCAATGGTGGTTTCCCCCAGAGATTGTTTACATGGTCATGTTCTGGCTCTCAGGGAATAGTGAGGGCTTTACTTCATTCAAAAGAGCAGAGATGAGAGGGAGGGATTGGAGAAGAGGGGAGCGAGAAGAGAATGGGAGAAAAATCCCTTGTGAATATTATAGCTGAAATTTAATGTCTAGTCTCTCGAGGTTTGATATTTCATCTTTATGATTTTAAGTTTTTCAGTTAGAAAGAAAATTGTTTTCTCTTTTGACACATGGGTAGGAATTTTCCAGCTGTAAACCCTCCTGATCAGACTATAGTTGTGCCATGAGCAGCAGCATGTATGTACACAGTAGTGTATCAGAGAGACCTGGTTTAGCTGCGTGTTCAGTGATTCAGTCATGTCCGAATCTTAGCAACCCATGGACTGTAGGGTGTCAGGTGGCCTCTGTTCCTGGGACTTTTCAGGCGAGAGTACTGGAGTAGGTTGCCATATCCTTCTCCAGGAATTAAGCAGCTACTATCAAACTATTCTGGAGAAAAATGGAAACCCATTCCAATATTGCCTGGGAAATGCCATGGACAGAGGAGCCTGGTGGGCTACAGTCACTGCGGTCACAAAAGAGTTGGACACAACTAAGCAACTAAATAACAACACATCAAAGTCTTTAAAACTTGGGGAGAGAGAGAGGAGAGCCTCTTTTTCCCATTTTATATGCCCTAAGTGCTCTTTCACTTAATTACCTTCATGAGATGTTTTGCTTGCAACTGTTGGTTTAACACAGTTAACTTTCCACCAGTCACAGTGAATGACTGACTACAACACGGGAGGTGTGGTTGATGAAAGTTATCAGTCAGAGTCTTCACTAGAAAAAAAAAGTCGGAAGTTGAAAACTAGTAGCCCTTGGCATTTACCTGCAAAACATGTTTGATCTGGTCTACATGAAATTAATTAATCCTTTTTAAAATAGTTGCCAATATTTTAAAACTGGAAGATACTATATAAAAAGGAGTATCTGTTTAGGAAAATCACTGCTTTGAAACCCTGGACTCAGAGTTCCATGTGGCAACAATGATTTGGAGTTGAAAAGCAGTTAGGGAGTCTACCCCTTGCAACTTGCCACAAGCTGCAATGGAGCTCTTCACTCGTTCAAATGACCTTCCTGGCCCCTGTCAAAATTCAATTTGGGGACATGGAGTTTAAATGAATATCATGTTAGTAAAAATATACTTTTTGTTCTTTTTTATGGTAAAGCTAAATAATGGTTATGAGTAATCTTATTCTTTCTATTTTAGAGCAGTTGAATAGATTTGCTGGATTTGGTATTGGACTTGCAAGGTAATGTTTTGTCTAAAGATTTTTAATTCAAGTTTTATTTAAAGTTTTTTTCTTTATAATGTTAAATAATTAGTATTACTTCCTTTAGATTGATTTTTGGAGCAGTAGTTAAATATTAAAAAGTTCTGTGCAGAAAAATTATTTAAAACCTATAATTTTCCCCTATAAGGATAGTGAAAATTCATTCAATTTTATAAAGGAATATTGTAAGAACTTTTCATGTGTCTGTCCAAAAAATAAAATGCAATCTTATCTCCCCCCCCCCGAAAACAAGTAATTTTGCATTGAACCTTTTTCCTAAACATCAGAATTATGACAAGATATTTAGCAGCATAGCATCTGTAGAATCAACATTTCCATATACTGTAAAATATTGTGTAAATATAGTTTTTGAGACACCTTTAGTGTTTATTTTATGACATTTGATTCAACTAGTGTTGATGTGATAGAGTTGATGTTAGGAAAAAAGAGCATAGCATCTAGGTTTCACCTAATATGTTCATTAAAATCCCTATAACTTAAGTGCAGAGTACATCCACGCCAAAATTTATAGGGTGGATGGCTCTTTTGATAAGAACTTTGTTCCCAGCACATCCTCTGAAAGAAAGCAGAAGGGGCATTTAAATTGTCTAGGAAGTAAGTTTTCCATATCAGGCCTACAAGTGTATCGATAATTTCATCTTTATACTGTACATATTATATGTTGTTTCTTTGCTTACCAGTTTGCAAATCTGACTTTAGTTTTTTTCATATTGAATCTTGTTGCTGATACGGTGGTTTGTAAACACATCGAAACATTTGGAAACTGTATTTTTTTTACTTTTTAGAATAATGTGTCACTTAAGTAATACATGACTCCTTAAGAATAAACTCAGTCTTACCTGTGCGCTTTTGTAGTCTTTTTACAGAAAACGTGCTGGCCCACCCCTGCATCGTTCTGCGCCGCCAGTGTCAGGTAGACGTGCTTTGTGTGCTTTTCTCAACAGTGGCCCTGACCCTGCTTCGGCGCATAGGCCTCAGATAGATGGCTGAGACCATGCAGCCGTCGTTCCATGTGTATACCAAAGTGCAGAATAGATCAGTTCTCAAACTGTTTGCTCTTTGAAAGCTGTCTTAAAGTTTATTGAGATCCCCAAAGAATGCTTGTTTATATGGATTATATCTACCAATGTTTGCCATTTCAGAATCCCAAACTGGGAAGGTTTATACACATATATATATGTTTAATTCATTAAAATAACAATAAATTGATGAGGTATTAGCACAAATAACATTTTTATAGAACTTTTTTGAAAATATCTTTAATGTCTGGCATAATAGAAGGCAGCCAGATTGTCACATCTGTTTCTGCAGTCTGTTGCAGCACATGTTTTTGAAAGAAACAAGAAAGCCTAGTCTTATATACATATGTCTTTAAAAATGGGAGTTTTATATTTTTTTAGATAATTGGCAGATAAAGTTATTTGCATTGTGAAATCTGAAACCACACAGGTTAAATGTTTTTGTACTCTTTTACCTTAAAACCTGTCGATCTGTCCTTCATGTTGAATGGGTTTCTTTCTACCCATGTGTGATTCTATTACATCATGCATTGATTAATTGAAAAATATTGATTTACTGATTATATAGATCTTCTAAATGTTATGACATTTGCTTTTACTGTATTAAAAAACCACCACCAAAAAAAAAAAAAACCACCACCATTACAATTACTATAAATCTCACCAGAAAAGTGTTTTGAGTTTTGGTAGGTTCATGATAGTCGATATAGGGTTTCCAGATTTCTAATTTTTGCTCATAGGCTCAAATTTATCATTGGCAGCTAATATTCTTGTTTTCTAATCAATGAGCCACTTTGTTTAGTTTTAAAAATATATTTGTCCCAAGTAACTATAGTCTTCTTAGTTTTTCCAGAAAAAAATGGTATTCCATGGAAAAAAGTGACTATTTTCAGACTCACAGCTCCATCAGACAAGTTCTTTTTCTTACGACAGTGTATTCATTATGCAATACACAAAATATTAAATTAGAAAGGTGATGTGTACTCAGGAGTCAAGATTCTATAAAATTAGTATATCTTCCTGCTTCACCAAGGGCATCTTTTAGGGAAAGTGGCTTTTGCCTCTTCACACGTGAGTCAGATGAAGAATACAATAAGTACAAAAATACAGTTTGGTGCCACTGCCTTCAGTTATGCCAGAGTTAGCAATTTTACCCACTGTTGCTTTGGCACTATTATTGAAAATGTCAACACAATAACAAAGGAAAGTGATGCCTTAGTATCAAGAAAATAATTTTGAACATGTCTATCCCCTGAAAGGATAATAAGGCTTTTGAGGGCTAATGGGCTACACTGGCAAAAGCACCTATAGTATAACATCTTTGAAAATTGAGTTAGAAAAGATAAACGAGTTTTAAGAAAAAAAATTTTTTTATGCTTAGCACCAAAATGTAAGCATATAGAGAATTCAGTATTTAAGTAGCGTGAACAGTGTATATGCCCTAGAAGAGCGAATTTTAGACACATTTTTTACATTGTGACAATATTGCATTGTGATCCAGTGTATACATATATGAGTGATGTTTAAAAATGTTTTATAAAGTAATACTTTCAGAGTGTATGATGCATTCTGATACTTTTTTATGTCACTTATTAAGTATTAGTTCTGATCGCCCATACTGATTTCATAATTTACCAATTGTTTATAACTTGTTACTGCTTGCCATGGAAGACAGAAATCTGTTCCCAGAGTTCTTCATGGTTCCTGTGTGTTAAATGGCATGAGCATTTTGCCACAGTGAATTTCATGCTGATGTTTAAGGAAACATAAATATCAAACAACAAAGCCTTCTTTATTATGTATTTTATTGCAGGCAGATTCCTTACCAACTGAGCTATGAGGGAAGCCTGGATATATTATACATTGGTCTTTCAGGGTTGTGTGTGTATAAGCACATGTTCTTTACTTTTAAGTTATTTAAAGCATTTTCTAAAGTAATTTTGCTTCTGTATAATTCATGCTGACTTTACAATTGAACTTTTATTTATGCTATGACTCCACTGTGTATCTTTCATGCTCTTATTTCTTGACAAAACAATAACCGAAAATAATCATAAAATATCTTTTTTTACAGGTTAACTACCATGCTCGGCACTATCATCTCACCCCATTTACAGTCATCAATATTATGTACAGCTTCAACAAAACCCAGGTGAGAAATAATCTTTTAGTTACTGAAGATACTATAACTCTTATACTAAAAGTAACTTAACTGGGTAGTGATACCTTTTGATATCATTGAATAATCAGTAACTTCACACTTTTGCCAAAATTAATTAAATATTAAAGGCATTTAATCCATATTAGAGATAATTAATTTAGAGTGTTTATCTTGGCCTAAATTTAGCTCACACAACAAATATTAAAGAAAGGAGGTAATTTACTTGTCATTCTTTACTAAAATGTCCTTAGAATAATGTCTGACTGGAAAATAGCAGAAAACATTTAATGTCAAGTTTTATTAAGAACTTTTGTATTTCCTTTTTAGGCATTAACAGAAATAATAATAAATTTTGGTCATTTTAGGGACCAAGGGCCCTTTGGAAAGGAATGGGAAGTACATTTATTGTGCAGGGAATCACACTTGGAGCAGAGGGAATAATCAGTGAATTCACACCTTTACCAAGGTACCTTTTTTGGCATTTTTCATTATTAGCTTCATATTAAAAATATGAAAAAATGATAGTTGCTAAAAATACCTTGAATTTGAAAACTTGCTTAAAGTAGCGAAGAGAAGAAACAGAATAAATAATTATGTCTTTCGGAACTGGTATGTGATGGAGAAAACCCTTCCTGGTCTAGTATCTATTGAGATATCTTTCAGCTCCTACTGCTATGTATTCAGTTCAGTTCAGTCACTCAGTCGTGTCTGACTCTTTGCGACCCCATGGACTGTAGCCCGCCAGGCTCCTCTGTCTGTGGGCTTTTCCAGGCAAGGATACTAGAGTGGGTTTCCATTTCCTTCTCCAGTGGCTCCTCCCGACCCAAGGATAGAACCCGGGTCTCCTACATTGCAGGCACATTCTTTACCAACTGAGCTACAAGGGAAGCCCACATCATGATTCATGCTATAATTAAACAAACCCCTTTTGGAGTCCACGGGACACTTTACATGGATTTATCGGCAAAAATTCTTTTTAAAACCTGAAGTCTGAGCTAGATCTGGAATTATGAGTAGGAAATAACTTGGCAGAGTAGGAGAGCAATTCGAGGTGACAGCGTCCACAATTTTATGGAAATTGGAAGGTCTGAGTGGTAAGAAGTGTCTTGTGCTTACAGTATTGAGCATGTGTGGAGTAGGATAAGATGAAAAGCCGAGATACTAGACTAAAGCGTGGTTCTGCCTTTGATAAGTGACTTAGATTTTATTGTCTCTAGAGTTGGAAATCTAAGGTGGGGGATTGTTTTCTTGTTTTTAATACACAGGTTATTCGATCAAGGATATATTCAAGTGGCAATGTTTAGAAAAAGGATTGATGCAGACAGAGACTTATGGAAAACTGTTATGGTAATATAGGCCAGATTGAGAAGGGTCTCAACTATGGAACAGAACAGAAGCTGGACAGACATTTCTGAAGTATAATTGATAATATTGGGAATGGGATTGTAGGAGAGTGATTTAGCAGCAGTGACAGATTTCTCGATTGGAACTGAGTTGGAGAATCATAAAGAAGAGTAAGCTGTAGTGGGAAAGATGAGGAAAGCAACTCTCAATAAATGAAGTCTGAGACATCCACGGGACACGCCTGGAAGAGGCTGGAACTATGGGTCAGAGTTCAGGGAAAATTTGAACCTGGAGGCGTGGCTTTGAATGTTCAGTTGAAGCTTGAGGATGGGTGAATTTCCCTAAGGAGAAAGTGTAGATTAGATGACAGAGTGAACCAGGGACAGAATCCTGGGCTCTGTGTGGGGGTGGGTGGGTGGGTGGATGTGTAGAAAGAGATGCTCACAGAACAAATGTGGCAGTAGCAGTAAGCTCGAGGACAGTGGTGGCCTGGAAGCCAAGAGGGGAATCAGAACAGTGGATTCTTCTGGAGGGAGGCGGTAGGAAGGTTCAGAATGTTTGCTTGTGGGTCTCTCTTCTCCCTGAAACAGGATGAGGTGGAAGGAGGATGAGCACGGGGGTCAAAGTGAGAGCATAAGACCGGCGACAGGTGTTTGGGGGCCACAGCTCTGGGCGGCAGAAGGGGAACTTCGCAAGGGGTCTGTGGATAATGCTGGAGATCCCATACATTTGTTTAGGTGTTGTTTACGAGGACTCTGATTTTCTTTATCAACAGTAAACCTCAGGGGTGGAGTTAAAGACCAAATGGTTTGTTAATCCAGAATTGGCCCCTGGCAGGGTTAATTTTTTGGATTGACAAGGAGCTGAGGGAGTTGAAGGTGCAGCCACGAGCATCTCAGACTTGAGATTCAGTCTTTATAGGGAAGGAAATAAAGACAGAAGAGACTGACATCAGGCTTTTTGCCACTGTGAGTACTTTCAAAGGACCGCATAGCCTTGAAGTTCCTTTAACATAGCTTTGCTAAATGTTTCAGACAAAAACATTTCATCAGCTAAAAGTTGCTCCTCTCACACTTTAAAAAAAATGTGAATTTCTGACCTTTAATAATTTTACCCCATTGCTTTTTATATCACACATAATGTCAAAATGTATTCAGTCAGTTCAGTTGCTCAGTCATGTCTGACTCTCTGCGACCCCATGAATCACAGCACACCAGGCCTCCCTGTCCATCACCAACTCCCGGAGTTTACTCAAACTCATGTGCATCGAGTCAGTGATGCCATCCAACCATCTCATTCTCTGTCATCCCCTTCTCCTCCTGCCCCTAATCCCTCCCAGCATCAGGGTCTTTTCCAATGAATCAACTCTTCGCATGAGGTGGCCAAAGTACTGGAGTTTCAGCTTTAGCATCAGTCTTTCCAATGAACACCCAGGACTGATCTCCTTTAGGTTGGAGTGATCAGATTTCCTTGCAGTCCGAGGGACTCTCAAGAGTCTTTTCCAACACCACACTTCAAAAGCATCAATTTCGGCGCTCAGCTTTCTTCACAGTCCAACTCTCACATCCATACGTGACCACCGGAAAAACCGTAGCCTTGACCAGACAGACCTTTGTTGGCAAACTAACGTCTCTGCTTTTTAATATGCTGTCTAGTTTGGTCATAACTTTCATTCCAAGGAGTAAGCGTCTTTTAATTTCATGGCTGCAGTCACCATCTGCAGTGATTTTGGAGCCCAAAAAATTAAAGTCTGACACTGTTTCCCCTGTTTCCCCATCTATTTCCCATGAAGTGATGGGACCAGATGCCATGATCTTAGTTTTCTGAATGTTAAGCTTTAAGCCAACTTTTTCTCTCTCCTCTTTCACTTTCATCAAGAGGCTTTTTTTCTCTTCACTTTCTGCCATAAGGCTGGTGTCATCTGCATATCTGAGGTTATTGATATTTCTCCCAGCAATCTTGATTCCTGCTTGTGCTTCTTCCAGCCCAGTGTTTCTCATGATGTACTCTGCATATAAGTTAAATGAGCAGGGTGACAGTATACAGCCTTGACGTACTCCTTTTCCTATTTGGAGCCAGTCTGTTGTTCTATGTCCAGTTCTAACTGTTGCTTCCAACCTGCATACAGGTTTCTCAAGAGGCAGGTCAGGTGGTCTGGTATTCCCATCTCTTTCAGAATTTTCCACAGTTTATTGTGATCCACACAGTCAAAGGCTTTGGCATAGTCAATAAAGCAGAAATAGATGTTTTTCTGGAACTCTCTTGCTTCTTCCATGATCCAGCGGATGTTGGCAGTTTGACTCTGGTTCCTCTGCCTTTTCTAAAACCAGCTTGAACATCTGGAAGTTCACAAAATGTAGTGCTTGTCATCAAATGTCCTTGACATTCTCCTACAAACACAAGATTCAGCCTGTCATTATCCATTCATTAGTGGGATTGTTTTATTTTAACCTATGTCCCTCACACTAGGTCCCAGCCCTTAGGGTCACGGATTCCCTTTGTTTCTTCCCCTTACTGTATACCTGATTTTGAGTGCATAGTGGGAATTCGGGAAATACGAGGTGAATAAAAATCTAACAAAGTCCAGTGGTTTCTGTGTCACAGAGCGTGAAGCCTTCTGCATCTGCAGTCGGAGCTCTGTTGCTCCCGGCTATGCCGCTTTCGGGCTTCCCCAGTGGCGCAGAGTCTGCCTGCGGCGCAGGAGCCCAGGGGCCACGGGCTTGGTCTGCGGGGCGGGGGAGTCCCTGGGGAGGGGATGGCTGCCCACTCCAGAGTTCTTTCCCAGAGAATCCCACAGACAGAGGAGCCTGGTGGGCTACAGCCCACAGGGTTGCAGAGAGTCAGACACGACTGAATCAAGCAACTTAGCGTGCACGTGCACACGCGAATACTACTTTTTAGTTCTGGAACCTTAGGGGTGTAACAGCATTTCTCTAAAGCAGAGATGAAGTAGTAACTTTAACTTCAGGTTAAGGGAAGGGAAAAGAAAAATGAGAATGAGAAGACAATTTTGTTATCTAACTTTCTCATTCTGTAGGCATGCAGACACATCAGTTGTCTGGGTATATGTTTCTCCTGGTCATTTTCAGTCTTATTAAATAAGACAAAACGTTATCTTTGAGATATTCTACTTGGGTTAAGTTTTGGTGGTAAATCTCACTCATTATTTCATTTATTTATTTAGCTCATATTTCCTGATCCCTACTATGTGCTAAATACTTGCTAGAAAGGTATATATACAGTGAGGAGAAGAATCAAAAGGTACCTTTGACCATGACACTTGGGATCTAGTGTAAGAGACATATGTTATGTAAAATAATCCCCCTAATGAATGAACAGTGACAAATTGAGATTTGCTCTCTAAATGAAAAGAATATGGTTCCATGAGAGTGTTAGAGGGTTAGGAACAATGTTGCTAAGAAAGTGACACTTAAACTGAGATCTGAAGGGCAATCAGGAGACACAGACTAATTTGTGCAGACTGTGGCGGGGGGAATGCGAAGAATTCATGTAACTGAGGGAATGTGTGTTAGTCATTCAGTCGTGTCCGACTCTTTGTGACCCCCTGGACTGTTTCCTGCCAGGCTCCTCTAGCCATGGGCTTCTCCAGGCAAGAATACTGGAATGGGTCGCCATGCCCTTCTCCAGGAGATCTTCCCGACCCAGGAATTGAATGCAAATCTCATGCATTGCAGGCAGATTCTCTACCACCCAAGCCACCTGGGCAGCCCTGGTAATTGAGGGAAACACTCATAGAGTTTGAACTCAGAGCAGGATGGAGAGCAAGAGCCGGTCTGTGCTTGAACTTATAGACCACTTTAAGAATATTGGAGAGTTTTAAGTAGGTGTCAATGACATAATCAGATGCATGTTTTTAAAGGGTCATTGTAAGTGGAGATGAAAAGACCACAGGAGGACCAAAATGGATATAAGGATACGTGTTTGTAAGCTATCACAGCCTAGGAAAGAAATACAGTAACTAGGACCAGGATGGTATCTTTGAGATGGGTGTAAATGGATGATTTTAAGATATATTTAGGTAAAATTAATTGAACTTGGTGATGGATTAAAGTTGGTCAGTGATAGACAAGGAGGTGTCAAGGGTGACTTCTAGAATTTTGGGTTATGTAACTGGATGTTAGGCTTCTCTGGTGGCTCAGTGGTAAAGAAGCCGCCTGCCAGTGCTGGAGATGTGGGTTCGATCCCTGGGTCAGAAGGATCCCCTGGAGAATGAAAGGCAACCAACTCCAGTCTTCTTACCTGGGAAATCGCATGGACAGAGGAGCCTGGTGGGCAACAGTCCATGGGTTGCGAAAGAGTTGGACACAAGTTAGCGACTGAACAACAACAATTAGATGTCAAATAAAGCCATTCTTAGAGTATAAACCTTTTTTCTTTTTTTTTAAATTCTGACTGCCTTGGGCAAGGTTGACTTTTCTTGGGGGAAAACAAAGTCATACCAGACAAAGGATCAAAGCAGTAAGAAGTAGTAAGCCAAAGCATTTCACAGAAGTTAGCATTTGAGGATGGGCTCTAGGGTCTTCGAGACTGAGGTTCTTGAATTGCATGGTGATCACTAGGTAAGACAGTACTGATTCACCAACATTTAGTCTTTTTATACTGATGATGATCACATCTGAGAAAAAGAATAAATCTGTAATGTTTATTAAGTCACCAAGCTTATAGTTTCTCAGTATTTATTGCTTCTAAAAAAAAAAAAATGACTATAACCCTGGGTCATCATCTGTGATCTTCCTTTGTCTACTGCCCAGATCCATCCCAGGCATTCCCCAAACCTTCCCCGAGGCAGAGTCAGTCAGACTTGGTGTTGCTCTACCCTGAAGTGGCCGTTCCTCTCCTGTGGCGTTTCTCAGATCACTGACATAGGAGCACCCCACCCAAGGCTCCCTGTGTCGTTGAGTCTCTGGCGGACCCCTTTGGCTGACTCCTCACGTGTGTGGCTGCACATGTTACTGTTTGCTTCTCCTGTTGTCTCTTTCTCCTAATGACCCCTCTGAGTTCACTGACCTTGATCACATTCCATTTTAAATACAGTGAAGTCTTTCTCCAGCTCAGTAGATTTACTTTCTCATTAACAGTTTTCACTTAGGGAACACTGAAAGAGTCTAAGAAAGAAAAATCATAAGTTTGATTTTGGACAGGTTCATTCTGACACAGAGAGAAGTCTAAACTGAAGAGAGCATATTTGGGAGATCCTGAAGTGTCCTGTTGGATGAGGCTGCCTAGGGAAGGAGTATAACATATAAAGGAAGAAAAGAAGGGCTGGGAACTCGTGCGTAAATCACTGAGTTAAGAAAAATGCACCTGCACAGGAGTCAAAAGTAGAGACGAGAAGAGAGGAGGAAACCAGAGAGTCTGGGGCCGTGGAGTCGGGGAGGTGGGGGGTGCTTCCAGAAGCAGCAGGGAACACACGTGCATGATGGCTGCTGCAAGGTCAAATGAGGCACAACCTTGAAAATGCCCGTTTGACTTAGTGATGTGGACGGAGGTCACAGAGACCTTGGCAGGAGCTGTAGAATAATAGGACAAAAGCCAGTTTGGAATGGGTTCAGTGATGAGTACGAAGTTAGGGCATGGAAACAGCAAGTTTAGACAGTCAGCTGGGAAGAGGAGAGAAGAAAAGAAGGAGCTGGAAGATGAGGGGCTTGGGTTAGATGTTTTTTCTTAAAGAGGGTAACTCTTTGACCATGGGAAAGTAAGAAGCAATTGAAAGTGAAGGCTGGGGGCTTCCCTGGTGGCTCAGTGGTAAAGAATCTGCTGCCAGTGCAAGAGACGCAGGTTCGATTCCTGGCCTGGGAAGATCCCACATACCATGGAGCAGCTGAGCCTGTGTGCCACAACTTCTGAGCCGGTGCTCTAGAGCCGGCGAGCCGCGGCTGCCGAGCCAGTGTTCCAAAGCTGGCGAGCCACAACTGCCGAGCCCACATGCCCTAGAGCCGGCCAACCACAGCTGCTGAGTTGGTGTTCTAAAGCCGGAGAACCACAACTGCCGGGCCAGTGTTCTAGAGCCAGCGAGCTGCAGCTGCTAGGCTGGTGTTCTAGAGCCAGCAAACCACAACTCCCAAGCCAGTGCTCTAAAGCCGGGGGGCCACAACTGCTGAGCCCATGTTCCGGAGCTGGCAAACCACAACTGCCAAGCTGGTGTTCTAGAACCCATGAGCCGCAACTGCCGAGCCGTGCTCTAGAGCTAGAGAACTGCAGGTGCCGAGCTCACCTGCTCTAGAGCCTGTGCTCTACTACGAGAGAAGTCGCTGCAATCAGAAGCCTGTACACCACAACTGGAGAAAAACCAGCACAGCAGCCAAGACCCGGCACAGCCATTAAATAAGGAAATAATTTTTTTTTTTTTTAAGTAAAGGCTGCACAAATAGTGTTATTTCAAAATTCTGTTGCTTTTGTATATTGATTGTGCATGGGAGTGTGTGTACATCAAATAAAAAGTCTGATAAAAAGCAAGTCACTTCTCTTTAATTTTGTTGCTCATTTCAAGGGCAGTGTTTGCTTGTGAAGATAGTGAATTAAAAATAGCTACATATCCTGGTACTTGCTGATGGACTATAAAAAGGTTTAATCAGAAGTATATTTTTACACTACCCTTTTTCATGAAGCATTTAAATGTGCTAGTTTAAATTTCTAGAGCTGTGGCAGTAAGTTTTACACATTTTATAAAGGAATAGATACCAGGAAGAGTGTCTTATTTTTTTTTTACTTCGTTTTAAATTTCTCTTTTCACTGTTTTTACCTTAATCCTAATGATCTTAAGAATTGGCAGCAGTAATTAGTATTCAGTGAGCCTGAGCAAACTCCAGGAGATGGTGAAGGACAGGGAAGCCTGGCATGCTGCAGTCCATGGGTTACAAAGAGTCAGACAAGACTTAGTGACTGAACAACAATTAGTGTTCAAAGGAAATGTTTCACAGTCCTTACAGAAAGGCAGGTTACAGACCCACATATCCATAATGTTAATGAAATGCTCAAAATTAACATCGTAATAACCTGTGGTAACCCTGTTTCAGGCCATATAAGAGAATGGAGGGCTTCCCAGGTGCCAAGGCCATGTAAGAGAATGGAGGGCTTCCCAGGTGCTGTTAGTGGTAAAGAATCCACCTACCAGTGCAAGAGATATAGGAGATGTGGGTTCGACCCCTGAGTCCTGAAGATCCCCTGGAGGAAGGCATGGCAACCCACTCCAGCATTCTTGTCTGGAGAATCCCATGGACAGGAGCATGGTGGGCTACAGTCCACAGTGTTGCACAGAGTCGGACAGGACTGAAGCAGCTTGGCACACAGGCAAGAGTAATAGATTTATAAACCTTTTAGCATATTTTATTTTATAATCATAAAGTCAGTAAGATAAGTAGCCTAGTCTTTTTTAGAATTTTTGTCATAATCATTAAATGTCATTCCAGCTATTTTTCTACAATTGTTCAGAGCTAGTATTGTATCCTGGTAGTAATTGCATCAGAATGTGACCCAGAACACTCTCTAAGGTCTTATAAATCAGAGATGGTTGTTTTGTTTTCTCAAAGTTTCTCTGCGGACCTTTCAGTCTCTAGGAAAATGTAGAAATATTCATGTATCACACATGCCATAAGTGTACTGAGTTTGTTTTTAAAACACTCATGTTAGTTGTTTCCTTTGCCTTTTTAATATAAAATGTATTCCTTTGTCTCCTTATGTCATTTATTCATTTCGAGCAGAAAGTGTTTTTCTCGGGCTCCTGCTCTGACTGTAGGGTATTGGATGTGCGCCAGTGTCACTGGGCAAGCTGGTGGCAGCCAGTCTCCACTCGGTTCTACGCGTCCCTTTTCTCTGTTATGCCGCCTTCCTCACCCCTCCCTCCCATCCTCTCTGTCTGCCTTTTCATGTTTTCTGCCTCCTTTTTTGATTTCCCCTTTATTCTCCATGTTGTCTCTGTTTTCACTTTACTCTTGATGTGACTTTCTCCCTTTTTCTTCTTCATTCAGCTTGCCTCTCTTCTCTTTTCGGGTTCCCAAAGTAACCTAAATCGCAGGAAGCACACAGTCCTAGACCTTGGTCCAAGACATGGCATTCTGTCCCTCTCCTTGGAACATATCCCTGTGATCTTTTTGACCTTTCTTTTTCTCATAAGCAAAAGGCAATACCTTATTATAGGTGTTACAAGGCAGTAAGATATACAAGGCAATATCTGTTTATCTCACAGGATTCCTTCTTGTATCAAGTGAGATGAGAGGCAGTGCAGGCAGATAGTATAGACTTCAAGTCATATGGACCAGGGTTTAGACCCAGTTCCACCACTAACTAGTTGCATCGCTTTGGGTAAGTTACGAACCATCTCAGCCTGTTTTCCTCATCTATGAAATAAGGGTTATAGGTTCATTGTGAGGGTTAGAAATAATTTATTGGAAATAATAAAAAAATATGTGAAGTGCTTTGCACGATGTCTGGCATACAGCAGGAGCTTAAAAAGAGAATATAATAAAAATCACAAAAGTAATGCCATCTTTATAAGTAGAGGCACTTTGAAAATTTGTGTGCTACACAAATGTGTCATTCAGCGCTACAGTTAATTAAGCTTTTCTTCCTTTATTCTGTTTTCTTGTCTGCCTTTCCTTCCCCATCCCTTGTTTTCCTGTCTGCCATTTTTTTTGTGGCCACACGGCATGGCTTCAGGGATTGAACCCAGGCCCTTGGTAGTGGAAGCACAGAGTCCTGACCACTGGACTACCAGGGAGCTCCCCTGTGTCCATTTCTATCATCAGTTATAACGCTTCCTCCTTTCTCAGCGCATACAGAAAGACCGCCTTTGTTTTTTCTCTTTTCAACCCACTGTAATTGTTTGACAGGTCCCAGAAAGCAAATTGTTCACCATTAGAATATATTCCTGCTACAGATTAAAAAAAAATTAAAAATTGATTAACTTTTTGAAACTTGGGTTAATTCAGGATATTTTAAATAGCATGGCTTTTGTTTATTTTTTTAGGGAGATTTCACATAAATGGAATCCTAAACAAATAGGAGAACACCTTCTATTGAAATCGTAAGTATCAAAAGCAGCATTTGTATTGAAATTTAACCAGTTTTTATAGTGTTAGAACTTAAAAAAGCTTATTAAAGTTAAGGAAAATAAGAGCAAAAGAAATGTTTGTGGGACTAAAACTTAATAAGAAAATTAACAAAGTTTAGGAATAAAATCCTGAAATGTGTGTTATCTTTCAAATCTTTCTAATTTGGAAGGCTGAAATCACAACTTAATTTTTCTTTGTGTTCTTAGGAAGTTAGCAAGAATTGTCAACTTGTTAAACCTGAATTGCCAGGAAAATTATTATTCTTATAATTATTATTATATTGGTAAGCAGACATACAAACTTATTTGTATGGTGATGAGCAAACTCGAAACCTTAGTGTCATTAAAATGTCGTCCTAAAGGCACTTAGTGGCATTACACCACTGACCATCTTTATAGATTAGAATTTTACTCTTCACTTTTTAATTTTTCTTGAAGATTCTGAATTGGAAACCCCCCAGCTTGCTGGCTCCCTCTGTGGGACATTCCAGCACATTATTACTTGGTGATGTTCCATTCACCTTGAAAACCACTACTTGCCAGGACCTGGCCCATGGGGTTAGGTAAGTCCCACCTTGACATCATTTTAAGTGACTATATTTTGCAGGCTTGCAAAGTTGTATGTCTCAGCAGTGGCAATAGGAAGCAACTTTGCAAAGCTGTACAATATTGTTTTTTAATAATGAAAGGGGACTTCACTCACCATGGAAGACTGGCTTAGTTCTGCTGGGTGGGAAATCTGGGAATTAATAATGATAATAGATAGGACAATAGCAGAACAGTAGCCTTGTTCAGATGTCACTAAAAAGGCAAGCAATGGAATGGATTCCTCATCCTAAATTTGAAGTATCTGATTCATAGGCTACATTAGCTGTGTGCAGGTAGATGTTCCAATAGTGAATCATAAACAATCCTACGTTTTACTGGTCCAGAATAAGTTATTTTCTTGCAGGCTGTCTCTGTGTTATTTTAATACATAGATTTTCATCTCTAATTGTTGAGTAAAGCATCTTACGTTATAGGTCTCTGAAGTATCTTTAGGCTATAGGTATTAATAGTTGAAAACCTTGAAGTTGTTATTCAAGCTTGATATAGATTATGTTGATATATTAAAATAGGTATTAAAAAATTTAGTGTAAGCTTCCTGTTTCAGTGTACTGATAAGTTTGTTTTAATTTCTACAGCCTAACTTACATAGTGGCAATGCCTTTTTATTCAGCAAGTCTAATTGAAACAGTACAGGTGAGCTATTTTTTATTGTCACTTTTTTCATTAAAAATGTCTTTTGGAATATTCAGTACATTGTGTATGTCCGATAGTGTAATAAAAATTTAAGACAATATCCTAAACAAAGTTTTTCACAGATACCATACATATATCGGAGATCATATACTAGGTACATTGCCTGTGTGTCAGTTTTCTTTGCAAAGTTAATTTACGCCTCTAGTGTTAATTCTTTTTATCCCTTATGATAGGCAGCTGTACTCTCGATTCAGATGTCTCAGAACCCAGCCTATGACTTGCTCTAAAAAGAAAAAAATCTAGAGAGTCCCCCCTCAACTCTTTAAGATGCTTATGTATAAGTCAAATGGTTATGGCCTATCAGATAATAAATGACTGCTTGAACATGAAACAATTAGAAGAGTAGTTCCCGTAGCTAGTTTACCAGTAGGTAGCATTCTTTTTACATAATCCTTTTAGGGAGCATTTGATGCTGTGTACTACAGAAGCTAAAGCAATCTCCTGCTCACATTCTACATTGTTTCACTGTTTCTAACCACGTGGTGGCGCTTCAGGTACACTGAATTGGGGTCCTTTCTCACGTACCATTCCTACGCTTAAAACTGAGCGAGCCTCCTTTACCCTCTTCACACAGTCCAGCTGTCTGCCCCCCATCTTCTGACTCCAGTGGCAGATGCTCTAGCGTATTTCTGTCTTTGGCGTGTACGAGTTTTCTCTGTAAAAGCCTCACTGGATCAGCGTTACCTCTTCAAATTACTCTTTTTCCACTCAGGTGCTTTTCTGGCCACATCATCGACTTCTTTATGTATTTTGTAGAATTATTGTTTGACATTAATGTCTTGCTACCCAGGTATTTCCTATCCCCTTGCACTTGACAGTGTGAACATGATATAAGCCTTGTATGGGGCTGCAGCTGAAAGAGTTGTCACTATGACATCATTTCAAAGATAAGGAAAGCAATATCTGGAAGATAATGAAGGAAAACAAACAGGGTGACATCTTGGGGAAAGCAAGTGTTCGCTTCAGACAGCCCCGTATCATAGTCGTGTCTGCTTAAATTAGGTCTGTAACTTAGAGCTGATGTCTTAACCTTTCTAAATCTTATTTTTCTCATCCATAAAATGGGAACAGTATTTTATTACCTTAATTACAAAGATTAAATGAATTATTTGTGTAGAGTTCCTAGCTCACTAGCTGTTCATTCTGATCTTTTTAACCCAGAATCTCCGATGTGTTTCCTGCTCGGGGTCCCACCTGCTGCTTCCTTCCTGCCGCCTGATTTCCGGGTTCTCTCTTGAGCATCCTCCCCGCTTTTAGTGCCGCCTTTACCACATCTTCTCTTGTGCTCCAGGGCGCAGTCCGAGGCCCTCTGCTCCGTACCACGTACTCCCTTGAATCCTTTTAACTCTCCTATCTCTATGAGTTTAAAAAGTAGAGAAGTCTTGATTTTCGTATTTCCTTCATCCTTTGTAACTAATCAGTCATCCTGTCCTCAGCTCTGACTTCAGGGAGTATCTGAGACGGCTCCCACCGATAGGCCCCCATTCCCAGCCCTTCATGTCACATAGCTGCTTTCTTCCTACTTCATAGTCGGGGTGGGGGGGGGGTAGGATTGCCTGTCTGGGGAGCTCAGATCTCTTTGAGAACAGTCTTTGCCTAGAAAATCACACATTTATGCATAGATCTCCTAAAGGACACTTCCTGAAGCTCTTACATATAAACTTCCTAGTGACTTGTCTTTTACTAAGACTCCTTGTTCTGTTTCCTGGATTTAAAGGCCATTCTACATACTCATGCAAGGTTAGTGTTCTTAAGTTGCAACGCTCATATCCTTTTGCTGAGTAAGGATCCATGTTGACTCATATTCTCTGAGATGAATTTCAGACTTCTCAGCGGAGTAAATAAGATAAATAAAAGGATACTTCATGGTACTAAGTGCCAAAGAGGATAAAAATAAAACAAGGAAATTAAGAGGTGTAATGGGTAGAGAGAAGTGATTACTATTTTTTTAAGATCCAGAAAGTTCTCTCTCAGAAGCAAAAGTCCTTTGAGTAAAGGTGTGAACATAAGAACTACACGGGTATTTGGGAGCAGAGTGTTCTAAGCAGAGGGAACGCGGGTGCAAAGACCCTGCGAGAGGCTTGCATCCGACTTGTGTTTGCGAAGCAAAGAGAAGGCTGGTACAGCTGAAGCTGACTCAGGACAGGAGAGCAGGAGGAGGTGAGGTCTGAGTTGGGAAAGGGCGAGTGCATGCAGGACACTGAAGACCACTGTGGCGGCTTGGCTTTGCTTTGAGGGAGACGGGGAGTCGGTGGTGGGTTTGAGCAGGAGGATGACATGATCTGACTTAGGTCCTGAGTGGGATCTCTTTGGCGGCTGTATTACAGCAGGCTGGAGTGGGAAGGGAGACAGAGGCAGGGAAGTGACCGAGGTTAGGTGGGCTCATCTTAGTCTCATGATTTAGCTTTACTGCAAACTTGCACATTTATGTGTCCGGCTCCGACCTTTTCCTTTTAGTCTAGACTGTAAACTGCGCTTGGAGCTCACACCCTAGACTCCACATTTCTGAACTCTGGATCTCCCCCCCCACCCCCGCCGCCCAGTTGCTGCCCGGCAGTGCAGCCCAGCTCAGCGAGAGGACTGTTGTCCCTCTAGCGCCTCTGGCTGGTGGCTCTGAGCTCATCTTGTCTTCTCCCGTAACCCACATCCCGTCCACCAGGAATTCCTGTTGGCTGTAATTCTATGATAAAAGCACAGTTGAAGTGTTTTATTTCCTTTGCTACCTGCTGTTCCAATCCACCATCACCTCTTTAACTGGTTTCTCAGCCTCCGCGCTCATTCTCCTCTGCACGACAGCCAGTATAACACAGATTCCATCTTATCCATCTTATGCTTCAGACCAGCTAGTTGTTTCCCATCTGACTAAAGACCAAAGTCTGCACGGTGGCATGCTGTGGCCCCAGAATACCTTTTTAACTTCACTTTTTGCTCTTCAGTCACTGTTGCGGCCAAATTGGCCTCTTTGTTGTTGTTGTTTAGTCGCTAAGTGTCCAACTCTTTTGCAACCCCGTGGACTGTAGCCCGCCAGGCTCCTCTGTCCATGGGATTCTTCAGGCAAGAATACTGGAGTGGGCTGCCACTCCCTTCTCCAGAGAATCTTTCTGATGCAAGGATCGAACCTCTTGTCTCCCGCGTTGGCAGGTGGGTTCTTTACCACTGAGCCACCAGGGAACTGCTTTTCTGCGTGTCTGTGCCTCTGTAACCAGTATCACAACTTCTTATACACATCCCATAATTATAAAAAGTAGAGACATTGCAGATGATAGTGACTTAACATCTCCTGAGGCTTTCTGTGCACCAGGCCTTCTTGCATTTAATGCTCCCAGCAGCTCTGTGCATAAAGGTCGGCCTAATCCCACTTTTGTAGAAGAGTAATTCTCTTAGGAGAAGCAGTCACGTGCGCATGATCACAGAGCCAGCAAGTCCTACTGGAGCCAGGGGCAAAGCCATGCCTTCCACTCAAGCACTGTGCCTCCTCATGTACAGCAGTTGTTGCTTTTCAGGATGAGTACTAGGGAGCTTCTTGTGGGGACACCTGGTGTGTCCCCTGCCACGTCTCTTCCCGTCTCCCTTCCCCAATTGGAATGACTCCCAGTTTCGCTGCAGTTTTGTGAAATTTTATTTGAAAAAAGGATCTAATGCCTAGATAACATTTGTCATTTGCAAACCATTGATGTTTCTCCCCTTTAGTCAGTGCATTAATTTAAAAGGGACTTAAACGGACCTGAAAAGAATCCTCTGTGGCAGAAGCAGCAGCTGATGACTTTTACTGTCTCCTCCTCTTGATCGCAGAGTGAGATAATCCGCGACGGCGCCGGGATTCTGGACTGTGTGAAGGAGGGGATTGGAAGAGCGATCGGCTTGGGCGTGCCTCACAGCAAGCGCCTGCTCCCGCTGCTGTCCTTGGTCTTCCCCACGGTGCTGCACGGGGTTCTCCATTACGTCGTCAGCTCGGTGGTCCAGAAGGTCGTCCTCCTCCTCCTGAAGAGGAAGGCTCACGGCGGCCAGCCCGCCGAGGGCGCCAGCCCGGCGCAGAGCACGCTGGACGCCTACTTTCCGGAGCTCGTGGCCAACTTCGCGGCCAGCCTCTGCTCTGACGTCACGCTGTACCCGCTGGAGACGGTTCTGCACCGCCTGCACGTGCAGGGGACGCGCACGATCATCGACAACACAGACCTGGGCTACGAGGTGCTCCCGATCAACACGCAGTACGAGGGCGTGGGGGACTGCGTCCGCGCCATACGGCGGGAGGAGGGCCTGCTCGGCTTCTACAAGGGGCTCGGCGCGGTGGCCACCCAGTACGCGCTGCACGCCGCCGTCCTGCAGCTCACCAAAGTCGTGTACTCCACGCTGCTGCGCGGCGGCGCTTGAGGGGCGCGGCGCTGCTCGGTCTGCGGGACGTCCTCTGCGCGCTTCGCTAGGGAGCTACGGAGGGCAGAAGCGAAAAACGGGCTCGAGACGGGCAAAAGCCGGAACTGGCAGGACGGCCCGTGAGGATTATATGGACTCTCCACCTCTTAAAAAAGGCGTAGATGCATAGTTTGGGTTCACGGTATTCCAGATTTGAAACTCAGTAAAAACACTCGTATGAATTAAATTCTAGCTAGCGTAGTACTAATGCCAAACTAAAAAGAATCTTGGGAAGAAGCAAGTATTTGTCAGCAAACTGAACACCAAATTTCACAGAGCTGGATTTATTTCATCTGACTTTCATATTGATTACACGTTTATTTCACCTTCTGCATTGATACTGGCATGTCATTCTTAATATAGTATATAGTAGCAGGAGGGCATAGTTTAAGCAAATTATGTTGTCAGTAATAAAGACAAGAAGGATTAGATTTGGCAGTCTGTAAGCAGAAGCTGAAGAGTTTTAGATTGCACTGCCCCTGTAGAACTTTCATGGCTGTACATTTATTATTATAAAGCCATTTATATGCATACATATAACTTGGAATTTCCTTCATCCCTACATATTTTCCACTCTTAGATCAGCTTATTGTCTAAAATGAAGTTATGTACTTTCTGCGTGAATATCAGAACAAAGCATTAAAAGCCAAGGTACCCAAAAGATTAAAGGCAAACGGCATACTTGTCCATATCAAACCCACCACTTCAGTGCCAGCAGCTTATAATCTGTCATACATTTATAAAGTTTGAGTTGCTTACCTAGTTTTATGAATCATTAGACTGTTTTTAGAGCCACTCATTAACAGAGACAGAAAATAATCACGACAACGATTCCTATTTCCACATTTACAAATTGTGTACTAAAGGGAATGTCACTTGCCTTTCATTTCTGAATGACCTGTCTTAGAGAAGACACAATTAAAATTTACCTGGGCATTTGTGCCTCATGCCTTTCACAGAGTCATCATTAAATAATGGCATTAATTTTTATTTTTTTCTTGTTTTTGTTCATAGTTGTATTCTCCAAACTAGATATACATAAAGGGAAATGCAGGTTTATCACCCTTTATTGAAATTTGTTTGGATGAATACTGATGAAAAATAGAAACTTCAAAGGAAATTTATCCTTGCTTTTTATGGGTGAAGAAAAGAATTTCAACAAATAATAAAGAAAAATGTTGGTAATCAGTTTAATAAAAATTCTGTCCCTAAATTGAATTTGGTGGGTGAGGCTCTTTGTGTAGTAAAATAATATGCATTTGATTGATCCATTTAGCAAGCTGGAGTATGGTGACTGCACTGATGTTGTCCAACCTAGAATGCATACAAACTGAGGTGTATTTTACTTACTGAATGTCAGTGAAATGGTTACTTTTTGTGATTAATAATGTTGAAACCAAAAGATGATATCCAAAAAGTATCAAACAATATATATGTGGCAACTCTCTCAATTATCTTGTGAAGGTGGGTTTTTTTTTTTGATGACTAAAGCACACAGGTTTTCCATTTTCCCATTCCACCAAGAGGGGGAAAGTAAAATTAAACTAAGTTATATACTTTCAGATAATGATTTGTCTAAATATAAATTGTTTTCATTGCCTTTGAATTACTAAGTAAATTTTTAGATGTTTATAATATGCCCAACTTCCTAAAAACCTTTCATTTTTATTATAATCAAAGAAGATGGTTTCAGAAAAGAGTAAACTGAAAATTACAGGTTTTAGAAAATTATAGAACAGAATCTGAATGGAATCAAGTATCTACTAGTGAAAATCTAGGATCCATTATCTAGTTAAAAACTAGATATTTCAAGATTATTTTATGGATGTTATCATGAAGATTCAGTTATATAGTACTGTCTCATTATGGAATCATTATAAGACTGATAGGCTGAACCACACACAAGTAGGTTGGTTTTATTTTCTCCTTGGAGAAAGAGTACAACTTAAAACTAAAGTTGAAATGCGGCAAGTAAAATACTAATTTTTTATTACCATTCCAAATTAGTTGAAATATAAAAAGAAATCTTTAAAATTGAAGCACTTAAATGTTGGCCAAATATGTTTAACTGAATTTAGAAAGGAATAAGCAAAATAAACATTAGACATGCTCTTTCCCTTTTAAAAATTGCTTTGTTTCTTTAGGTGCCAAAGTCAAATACCCATAGGCTGTAGTTCTTAATATGATAATACCTTAGAATAACATTTTTAATTCAGTGTGATTAATAGTATCATGAATAATATTCTATTAAAATATTTCACAGTCCCAATGGTCTCCTTATATAAGCTAGGTTTGGCCATGGAGCTGAAGTGTGATACGCTTGCCTTACATTGTTGGGTTTCTTAAGTCCTATAGTCTGAAAGCAGTGGAATTAAAAATGGAAACATCTGGTTAATATTACTTAACTGTGTTAAGTGAGTTTATGAACTGGTTTACTAAATCTGTTTATAAATCTCTTTCCTTTGAGGAACTATTTATGGTTTCTTGCAAAATAATCTCTAAGTGTAAATAATATGTCATTAAACTCCAGCACTAGATGTTATGAGTCAAAACAAACTAATTTCAAAATGATTGTGGACTGTGGGGTTTGATAGTGTTTTCAGAAATGAAACTGAGAGACTAGAGGTCTTGCTCATTTTTGCAAGGTACGCTTGCCTGTCCACAGCTGTCTTTTCAGCACTGGGCTTGTTAAAACCGCACACAGCATTCGCTGAACTGACTGGGTACAAGTACTTCAGTCTTTCCATGTATTCATACATCTGCCCAGGAAACAAAACACACTGCTTGGATATTTGGTTTTTGACATTGTGCAGGACGTTTGCCCTTAGTTTGCTTCCGAGATCTTATGGGGAAAAAATGAACAATCTGCCAGCTCTTGAAAAGATAGCTTTGAATTAGTTATTTTCAGTAATATATATGGAAATTAAATCCCATTGGTAACAACTCACATTGCACTAGAATTTAAGTAATACTTAACTTTGGCATTTCTGGTTTTTCTTCTCTTTCAGGTAGTTGTACATTTCTCTCCTTTTCTCTTTCTCTCATATAAACTGGATATATGTCTTTCTTTTGAGTGACTGAGTATCATTGATATGCTTCCAAGATGTATAATTGAGTAACAAAAACTTGTGATTTGACAATGAATCTTATGCAGTATACCTCAGCTAGAAGAGGTATTTAGTCTGTGTGTTTTTCTTTTTTTAAGTTGGTTTTGTCTCACTGGTATTTTAAATGTTTTCAGCAAATTGTGTAATATGAAAAGGTTAAATAAAACATTGAAATAAAATACTAATTTTCTCTTACTCATGCTAGAAAACTACTAAGTCTGGTGGTGAGGAGGTTCAGAATATGTCCCCCCAAAATATATGATGTTGGCATATGATTTTGAATTAAAGGTACTTGAGAGACAGCTAGTGCAAAAGGACGCTCAGACCCTCCTTTGTTCCGCTGAAAGCAAATTGCTTGTGTGAAAGTTGCCCCACTTGTATGGGAAGAGGGCATGTAGGGCTGAGGAAGCTGTGTGAATAAACCTGTTACTTCTTCAGCATTCACCACCCCTATCACAAACTCCTCTGCCTGTCAATTCTTCATAAGTTGTTTTTTCATCTAAAAGTTTTAAAAGCTTTTAACGCCAGTTCCCTCCTTTAAGGCTTATTGCATGGTGGCTCCTGCACATATAAAAACCTTTCTCCTGTTAATCCGTCTCATGTCAGTTGAGTTATGAGACCAGCCAAAGACCTAGAAGGGAAGGTTGTCCTACACCTACAGACAATGGTAAAAGAAAAGTTACACTTTTGTAGGTACAAATGAAGATCAAGAAAAGTATCTGTGTAAAGTTAAACATTTTTGCCCATTATTTAAAAAATCATTCTGATGTCTGTGATGTGTGCAAAACAAGTATCATATTTCTTACATAAAATTGCATATGTATTGTCTTTGGTTATTACAGAGACCCATATTTGATCCTTAAAGCTGTCCTCAGGCAATTTTCTGAGTAGTGCTGTTTAGGGAGGACATAGATACAGGTGGTGGGCATTGCTTGAAAATACTAAAATAATCAGAAAAACCAGCAGCTAACAAGAGCTAAGAATTCACTGAAACATGTAAGAAACTCCCCTAAGACACGGAGGAACAGTCAGGGAGATGGTTTCTTTGCAAAGTTTGGGCATTTGAAAGTGGTTATGTACACGAGGGAATTTAGAAAGCCACTTACATGCCCAGGAAAAGGACATGGGCTCAGAAAAACACCAAGAAGACCCTGAGTTTTCATTCCTGGATGATCTAAAAACTCAGTACAAGCAGGAAGTGAAAGCTGAGGCAAAACTAAAGAGCCTAGTCTAAGGATGAAAGGGTTACCCCAATACAGAACCAGCCCACCATATTAAGAAACAAACTAAATACAAAGCCAGAAATCAGACCTGGGTCTGATGGTCTAGTTCAGTGGCCTACCATAACAGGCCTTCTCAGAGTTAGGCAGGAGTAGATGGTCTAATAATATCTGCCCTTTAGTAAAAGAGTAATGACTAACACTTCTGAGCACTTAGCATCACAGCCTGATCATTAACTCAAATGTATTATCTTATATATTCCCTATAGTAACCTTATGAGTGAAGTAGTTACGGATAGTATCTGCACTTTATAAATGAAGGAACTGAAGCTGGCAGTTTTAAGCTTTGCCCAAGATCATTTCCTTACTGCAAAATTCAGACTTGAAGAAAGTGGGGAAAACCACTAGGCCATTCAGGTATGACCTAAATCAAATCCCTTACGATTATACAGTGGAAGTGAGAAATAGATTCAAGGGATTAGATCTGATAGAGAGTGCCTGATGAACTACTGACAGGTTCGTGACATTGTACAGGAGACAGGGATCAAGACCATCCCCAAGAAAAAGAAATTCAAAAAGGCAAAATGGCTGTCTGAGGAGGACTTACAAATAGCTGAGAAAAGAAGAGAAGCGA